CTTTGAAAGGAATTGTTATATTCTATATGGTGACTCATCTAGCAGCTCAGGAAATACTGCAGGATCAGGCACATGGTGTGAAGAGTTGTGTGAGATTCATGCCACCAGAAATGGTGGAAGCATGGGTTTGCTGGGTTTTTGAAAAAGGCACTAAATATAGGCTGTAGAAGAAGTTAGGGAAGGGAGAAAACTGCATCATGTCATGCCGTCTTCTAGGTCACCCCCCTTATGAATGTTTTACTTCCATGAGGTATTGCAAACCCTTCCCAAAACACCATGCAGAGAGTAGCACAAGACGCACTGCTCTCTCCATCAATTGAAGCACTGTTAATGATGATGCATTCCACCTATACAAGGACCATAGCATGGACATGCACAACCAACTTAATTATTGTGCTGGTGGTATGCTGACTTGACTTAACTAAGTCAACTTTATTTTGTAGTGAAGACATGCTGTGAGTGCTCTAGTGAAAATCAATTTTTGATTTAACTGAGTCAGGAAACTTTGAAAACTGCATTTTGCAGTAAAATTTTAATAAGAACATGTGCCATGTCATTTCTTAAGTAACCTGGCTATTTGCATCTGTGCATGGCTGGCTTAGGATTTATCTGTTCTCAAAAATTGTACTAATTTTAACTAAATTGCTTTAGAAATTGGTTAAACTGGTACAAGTTCTTTATGTGGACACTCTGAAATCTTTATGTTGATTTAGATTAAGTTGATGAGGAATGTCATAAGATCAAATGTTATAAAGCATTTTTAAACTCATTTAAATGTGTCCACACAAAAAGATAGCACTAATTGAATTACTCAGTTTCTAAAATGATTTATTCAAAATGGTAAAACTTGTGTTTAGACATGGCCTAAACTGTGTAGAGAACAAACACATCTCATAAGATGCATGTTGAACAGAACTCTGCGTAGTCATTGCTTTTTAAAATATTTTTGTTTCTCTTGATTCATCACTTCATGTAAATGTATAGTTTATATCATTTTGCAGTTTTGTACAGTTTTACTTCAGATGCAATTTTTCTTATTTTATTGTTTATAATTATCTAAATATTTACATTTTAACATACATTTCCCCCAAAGGTTTGGGACTATTGTACTGGACTGCTAATATACCAGTCGTCAGTGTTAACAGGTATGTTTTTCTTTCTTTGTATGACTGCCTTTGAAAGGAAAACATATTTTACTCTAAGAAAAAAAATGTGTCCACCTTTGCCTGTTGATATACTCAAAATAGCACAAAGTCTCAGGTAGCTCTTTTAGTCTGTAAGTTAAAAAACAATTAGCAGTTCCGGGGCACCTTAGGGACTAAAAATTTGTTAGGTCATGAGCTTTCATGGGTAAAATCTACTTCTACGAAAGCTCATGATCTAATTATTCTAATACATATGTTAGTCTCTATGGGCGTGCCTATACACCAGGGCTAAAGCCGAAATAAGATACACAAGTAGAGCTATGTTGATTGTGTAGCTTAAGTCGAAATAGATTATTTTGGCTTTTGGCGCTGTCTACATAGCAGGAAGTCCGAGTTAGAACATTCTTCCTCCGACTTCCCTTACTCCTTGTAAAAGGAGGGTTACAGGAGTAAGAGTAAGATGTCCTCCAGAGTAAGAGTAAAACGTTCGCCATTTTTTTGAAATAAAGGCTTGAAGTGTAGGGTATGTCTCCGCTACAGAGAAGATCGAAGCTGCTGTTGTTGATCATCCATGGTTCAAATTAGCGGGTCTAGTGAAGCTAATTCAGACTGAGAGTGGCACTCCGGTTGATGCTGGTAGTGTTGCTTCCATGAGGACTAAGGGAAGTCGAAGGGAGAGTGTTCTCCCTTAGACTTCCTGCAGTGTGGACAGTGCCAAAAGTCAGATTACGGTACTTCGACTTAAGCTACGCAATTAATGTAGCTGATGTTGCGTATCTTAATTTGACCTTATCCCATAGGCTATATCTACACTACAGGATTTTTGCTCAAAAGCAACTGTTTTTGTGCAAAAACCTGCAGAGCATCCACGCCTCAAGTGCGTTTTTGCCCAAGAAAATTTACAGTAGAATGGCAGAACAGAGGGGTTTTTTACGGTATAGGTATACCTCTTTCTACAAAGAATAACTCCTTTTTGCTCAAATACTCTTGCACAAAAAGGTGTGTGTGGATGCTCAACAGGGATTTCTTGCACAGAAAAAGCCTATCAGAAAAAGCACAGGTGCTCTGATGGCCATTCTATTAATGGCAATAGAGCTTTCATACGCAAGCATGGATGCTCTCTTGCGCAAAAGCACATTGCTTTTGTGATGTGCTGTTGCAGTGTGGATGTGGTTTTGTGCAAGAAGTTTTTGTGGAAGATCTTTTCCGCAAAACGCTTCTTGCGCAAAAAGCTTGCAGTGTAGATGTAGCCATAGTTTAGACATACCTTAAGTGCAACAGGACTGCTTGTTGTTTACAAAATAGCACAGTTAGCCAGTAAGTACTAGGGCCATAATTTGCAAACTTTTAAGTCAGTAGAAATGGCAGCATCTCTGAAAACATTTTTTGAGTACTTGCATAAAATGTAACTTGCCTAACTAAAGATATTGAATATGTACATTTTATCTGTGTTGCTATTAGTGACATGCTTGAATTTGTACCCACTCATTTGGTGCATATAGTTATTTCATGTTATACTAATCCCCATTATAACTGAATACCTTGTTCTTGTCATTCATCAGATGTTATGTATGGCACACAGGAGCCTTCCTGTTTTGTGTACATATTGTGATAACTTTTACATAAATGCTGTGTTTTCTTAAGATAATCTCAATACATGGCATTTCTATATTATTTATGCTCATTATTCTAATTATGTATATGATGAAAATAACTGTTTTTTGTAATCCTAATTTGAGAGGGCATGTTAGCATGTGCTTATGTCCCATCAATAGAATTGAGGCCATATTTTTAAATATGAAATCCAATTTATATGTACTATGAAAACAACTGCATCTTTTTTTTGTACAGTATTTCCTTTGCTAAGTCTGTTCATTGATGAAGAAAATAAACAGATTATTACAGGATGTGCAGATGGGCAGGTGAGGATCAAGCGAATGCTATAAATTTTAATTTTAGTCAAAATATCAAAACGTTTAGCAATGTCCTGTATCAGGAAGTGTCACAATCTGTGTGTTTGAAATTGTTGCACACAGTGTTAATTAGCATAATTTACTGCTCTGATCTTTAATTGTTTTGGTTATTGATAGCATAGATCTTAATTTAAAAACTAAATGGAAAATCTTTTCTAAATAAAGTAAAGATGTTTAAAATCACAGTTTGTTAATAGAGTATACTGTGTAAGCAGACTCAGAAGCTGAAAGTTTGTTTTACAATCAGATGTGTGAAAATTAATTTACATTTTATGTATTGGCCAATCAGCATGGCTTTCAGTCTAAACTAAAAATATACAGGATACCATTACTGTGGTATCATTTTGCTAGGTGTCCTTGCAAATTGAGATCTGTGGTAATCTATAGTTGAGTTAATCACTAAGATTTTTTTAAAAAAATAACATCTTGAAAAAGCCATAAGAGACTTCACCCACTGCACCAGTTCAGAGGAGTGTGGAGAAAATGAAAGGCTTGACTGTTGTAGTGTCTATAAAGAGTAAGCAATAAAGGACACATATGAGTCAATGAGTTTTCCCATGCAAGTTTTCAAAGGTTTCTTGTAACGTGCTATAATTATTTGAAAAAGATGATGGGGGAGATTTTCAGACAGCAATTAGACATCTAACTCCCATTGAAAGTCAGTGGGGATTAGGCTTTTGACTGCATTCTGGCTTTTGGAAATCTTCCTTGATATTGTTAAAACATGAATGAATACATATAATTGATTCTTTATAAATTCTGCATTTGTGAAATTAAAATTGCTTAAACATCATATTTTAGGAAATGAGATGATCCAATGTGAGAGTTAAATGGTATCAATTTATGTTAGTTGATCTGATAATCTTGAGGCCAAACATTAAATATTAAATTTGCAGTATGCATGACTGTTTTCATCAGTGTCAAAAAAACTGCCGTCGTGACTGATTTTGTCCTTCTCCTTCAGCTTTGGATATTCAGTTTGCTCAGTGAACACCATTACCGTTGTGTAGTACATATAAACTTAAACAAAGAGCAAGAGAAATTCTACAGCAAAACTGGAAAATCTAGACAACAATTAGGTATTGTGATGTTTGTAGAACACTTTTATACATTATGCTTTAATTCATATTGTATATTACTGAATAATATTCTCTTTATGAACACCATTAGTTGAAAGTTGCTCTTATATTTTTATGTACAACTCTTCCTGAAGTAAATAGGAGTTATGCACATGTATCTAAGGGTACATCTACACAGCAGCATTATTTCGGAATAACTAACGTTATTGTAAAATAACAAAATGCGCGTCTACACTACAAGTCTTTATTCTGAAATAATGTTGAAGTGGAGGACTTTTTACTCTGATTCATGGTAACCCTCATTTCATGAGGAGTAAGGGAAATCGAAGGAAGAGTGTTCTTCCTTCAACTTCCTACTGTGTAGCCAGCACCAAAAGCTGAGTTAAGCTATTTCAACTTCATCTGCACAATTGATGTAGCTGAAGTTGCATAGCTTAAATCGACTTTAGCCCTGCTGTGTAGACGTACCCTAAAAGAATAAAGTTTGCTCTTTGTGTGTGTATATCAAACATTGTATTTTGTGGATTAGATACTGTTGAAGTCAGTGAGAAATTTACCAAAAACTTCAGAAGAGAGCAGAAATAGATCTTGTTGAGTTATTCATCACTTGATAACTGGAATAAACATCCATTGATTCCTCTAGAAGTTCTAAGAATCTTTATTTTTGCTATTTGCTTTTCCTCCCACTTATGTGTCTTCATGATGTAATGACTGTTTCCATCTTGAAATGATAGGAGTAGGCTTCTGAGACCAGTCATCCCTAAAACAGCAAAATAGAATGGCATTTCAGAGAGGGCTGATTATTTGAAAAAGCATGCTGGCTCTAGTAGTCTCCTCTGCTAGAGCAAAGGCCTCTAAATGTGATCCCTCTTCATGCTAGTACAGCAATGGGCAAAAATTTTTGATGCAGGGGGGCACTCTAAGATTTTAGTTAAGTGGTCAATGGCCATACTTCTTTATGGAGGGAGTGTGGGGTCTGGGAAAGAGGTTGGGTGCTGAAAGGAGCTCAGGATAACAGGCTGGGGTGCAGGCGAGAGAGTAAAGTCTGAGAGGGAGTTTGGGTGAAGGAGTGAGTGGGTTGTGATCTGGAGCAGGGATTTGAGGTGCAGAAGAGGATTCTGGCTCGGGAGAGGAAGGACAGGGTCTGGGAAGGAGTTGTGACCTAGGGGAGAGAAGAAAGGAGTGTGCAGAGAGTTTGGGTGATGACTGGGGGCAGGGAAATGGGATGCAGGGTCAGAGAGAGGGTATGGGTTTAGGATATGATTCTGGCCTGGGGGAGAAGTGTGTGTGTGGGGGGGTGCAGGGCCTGGGAGGGATTTGTGACCTAGAGGAGGCAAGGACAGTGGGTGCAGTGGGTTTGGGTGGTGACTTAGGGAAGAAGGGGGAAGTGGCCTGGGATAGGGAGTTAGGAGAGAGAAAAAGGGGGGGTGGGGTCAGAGACAGTCTCTGGCTGGGAGGCAGAAACTGGCTAATGGGAGCTGAGAAATTTTGCTGGAGGGGAGGCAGGGCAGCACTTGAAGCCTCTCCCTCCCGCCCTGGCACCTGGAGTAGAGAGCCACAGGGAGCAGCCAAGTGCTTAAAACAGCCTGAGCTACTCTGTGCCTGAGGATCCTGTCAGGGTGGCCCACAGGCTGGATCTGGTGGCTTAGTGGGCTGGATCTACTTTGTGTGCTGAATCTTGCCAGCCTCTCTGCAGGGATGTTAAATTGCCAGTAATCAGCTAATTGAGTAGTTGATGGAATTTCCATTGACTACTCGATTAGTCAATAAGAGGGGAAAAAATGCAGAGTGGCAGCAGGGTTAGGTTCCAGCCTGGGAGCTAACTCCCCTGCAGCTCTGCCTTTTAAATGTATTAAGAGCCACCAGGAAGAGGCAAGTGGCAGGGACAACTGGGAGCAAGCCGGGAATCAGCTGTCCTGGCTCGTTCCCAGTCCTCCCCTCCCCCCGCCCCTGCTTCACATCTGCTTTTTAAATGTATTAAGAAGCCCTCTGCTTTTAAGCCGGCTCCACCCAGCACCAGCTCCTGCTCCCTCCTTGCTACCTCTGTCAGAGAGAGGCAGCAAGGAGGTGGGGGGAGCGACTAATCGAGTTACTACTCGATTACCCAATAAACATATGCTTGTCGGGTAGATGACTAGTCGCTTACATCCCTACCCCGTGCTAGTACATTGTGCTACCACTGAATTACCCTTTTATGACTTTATATCATTTCACTCCATTTTGATCTATTTTGCTAGTCTGATAGCAGTCAATGTCTGTCTTTAGATCAAATACAGAAGTTTTCTAAGCTACACAGCCCAAGTGACATGAGACCAGAAGAAACAGTGGAAACAACATTGCCAGTACTCAGAATTGAACATTGTGACCAATCAGTAAATTTAGGCAAAGAGGAAAACTTGTAAGTGCAATAAATTATCCTTGACTATTTGGCTGAAAATCACTTAGCAATTTGATTGATGTTCTCAAATTACTGTTATTGCGGGCTGGTCTGTTTTCATATAGTACTATAGCAGTATTCATTCATTCATTCATTCATTCAGTGATTTACAAGTAATGTATACGGACTTAAGCAACATTTACAGAATAATTTACAAAAATACAAGATTAGATTCTACTCAGAAAAATAATTATTTTTTTTAAAAACAGTTATTGTGTTATCTCCTTGTTTCCAAATCAACAATGCTGTTTTCAAATTAAAAAAACACAACTTTTTACAACTGCCAATACTGCAAACTCATTTTGGAATAGAACCATCAGTGAGGTTCTACAGGTGTCATCATTGGCCTTGCAGTTACATTAGAACATAAGAATGGCCATACTGGGTCAGACCAAAGGTCCATCTAGCCCAGTATCCTGTCTGCTGACAGTAGCCAATACCAGATGCCCTACAGGGAGAGAACACAATAGATAATCCTCAAGTTAGTCCTCTGCTATCACCCATTTCCAGACAAACAGAGGCTAGCGACACCATTCCTGCCCATCCTAGCTAATAGCCATTGATGGACCTAACCTCCATGAATCCACCTAGCTCTTTTTTGAACCCCGTTAAAGTCTTAGTTTTCACAACATCCTCTGATAAGGATTTCCACAGATTGACTGTGCGCTGAGTGAAGAAAAACTTCCTTTTGTTTGTTTTAAATCCGTTGCCTATTAATTTCATTTGGTGACCCCTAGTTCTTCTTCGAGTGGCCCCGTGGGTGCTCCACTCTAGATGTCGTGTCCCGTCCTGGCGCTGCGGCTTGGAGATTTCTCATAGTCGTGCTCCGCCGGCTTGTGCATGCGTGCTTCCCCAGTGAGGCGTTCGCGCCTTTGATCAGCCGCGCGCGAACCGGCAACCGTCAGTTCCTCTCAACCGCCTCAGGTCGCGGTCAGAGCTCCCTGAGTATTTCTCTTCAGAATGTTTTCAGTCAGTTTTTGCATCTGTAAATAGTTAAATTTGTTAGTATTAGTCGTGTTCCTGCTAGTTTGTTTTTCTGTTCATAAGAAAGTAAAAAAAAAAAATTCATAAGAAAGTTAAAAAAGAAAAAGAAGTTTTTTTCCTCAAGCCGCTTCTCTTAAAGCGCTGCGCAAAGCGCTAAAAGTGAAATTGACAAGGCTTTACACGGGGCTTATACAGACATTTATTCTGTACTAGTTTTGAAAATGCCTGGATCGACTGGTTTTTAAAAGTGTTTGGCATGCCATGAGCCCATGCCGACGGCTGACGGCCATGATGCCTGCATTAGGTGCCTGGGGGAAGCTCATGTCCCCGAGAAGTGCTCTCACTGTAGAAAATTAACATCGAGAGCCCGGAGGGAGCGGGAGATGAAGATAAGAATGCTGATATTCAGGAAGGCATTGCAGCCTGACGCGATCCCTCCCGCAGCTACAAAAGCCCCCGAACAAAAACGCAGGGCGGCTTCTCCGGGACCAGCCGGCTCGAAGCGGTTGTTGTTTTTTGTTCTTGTTCATGCACTTGTCAAATTAAATTCTACAATATATTAGTGAACTCTAATCTGGACTCCAAGCGTGTTTTTTCGGGGGGGAGAAATGACCAGTGATCAGATATGGTGTCAAGGGCCTCCCTTTTGGTAACCAGAGCATTTAACATCATCAATCAGATCCCTTATCCTAAATTCTAAATTAATTCAAAAGATTCTGCTTGTTACTGAGACTCTGGGGTAACAGCGCCTGCCTCACCGGCCCCGCTTATGGCGGCACCGTCCTCCACGGCACCATCTCTTCTGGTACTGGGCTCCGAGGCAGAAGGTCTTGATGCCTCAGCCCCGGCACTGCTGCCGACTCCGGCACCGGACACTCTGCTGGCACCGGCATCAATGCAGCAATAGCTGCTTTCCCTGGCACTGCTCCATTGCTATTCGGTGCCTGGCTCTCCTGTGGCTGTTAGGGTGGAAGACACCTACCTACATAGGAAGGTATTATCAAAGACTCACTACAGAGACAGATCTCTGTCTCCAGATTTTTCACCGTGAAGGTACGGTCGCTATCATGACTATAGTGTTCCTCCTACACAGGTCAGGTATGGATGGCGTAATTATAACAGTGTATCTAGAAACACGTTGGTCCCGTTCATGGTCCTGCTCACCCAGTCGATCCTCAAGATACGAGCCTGGTAGACGCTCCCCATGCCGCGTCTATTATATCCAGCATAGTAGTGCACGCTCGTCACGCCACTCCTCTCTGTTGCGTTCTGAGCGCTATTATGACAGCTACCATAGACCATATGATGATCGTCCCCGGTGTGATCGTACATTGTCCTCCTGTAGGGGATCCTCCTGCATTTGTCAACCATTGAGTGAAAAATACTTACCTCATCAATCGCAGCATCTAGACTCACCTTCTCCGTCTAAGAGTCCAACGATCCAACTAGACCAGTCTGAGCCGGAAGAGGGGCAGTTGTCTGATGTTGAAGACCCCAAACTGGAAACTTCTCCAGCAGACTGATCGTCGTCATCTCCGGATGAGGCAATATTTCCAGCTGACGTCTCTCCACTGGATGATCTAAGACAATTCCAAGACCTCTTTAAACGTGTGGCGGGCACACAGGAAATACAGCTAATGGATATTCTGGTTAAAAAGCACCGTCTCTTGAAAAACCTGCGTCCACAACAACGTGCAAAGATCGCCTTACCTAGTGATGATGCGATCATGGAAGTGGCGGATGAGATATGGCAGACCCCAACATTGGTTACACCTACGAGTAAAAAGGCCGACAGAAAATACTTTGTATCGGCAAAAGGATTGGACTTCTTGTTCAATCATCCTCAGTCTAACTCGTTAGTAGTGGATGCAGCACAACATAGGGCTAAAGCGCCACAGTACAAAAATATGCTTCCGGACAAGGACAATAAAAAATTGGACATTTTTGGTAGGAAGGTCTACTTCTCAGCCACACTTCTACTGCACATCGCAAATTATTCAGCCCATCTATAAAACCATAATTTTGATAATTATTCCAAATTAGCAGAGTTACTTCATCTCCCAGACAATAAGAAGCCACTTTTGAAGGCAATAGTCCAAGAAGGGTATGCATCATGTAGTACAGCACTGCAGATAGCCATGGACATGGCTGATACAGCAGCTAGAGCTTCTGCCACAGGGATTGCCATGAGGAGATCATCATGGCTGGCACCCGCAGGAGCCCCAAAGGAGATGCAAAGCAAGGTTGAGGACCTACCACTTGACAAGCTTAAGCTTTTTGCGGCGAACACAGACTAAGTCCTCCACTCGGGAAAAGATTCACACACCACTCTAGGTACACTTGGGATGTACACTCCCTCCTTCAAACGTAGACGTTATTTTCCTTATCAACGAAGATATGATTTTAATTTCTCCAGACAACAATCACGTCCCTTCGACAATCAACGCCTTAGACAACGTCCTCAGCACAAACAACCCCAACAGGGCCCTTCAACCAATCAATTATCAACTAAGCAGCAAATTTGACTTGCCTGTAGAGGATGCAAGCCAGCTACCCGCAATCAACATGGAAGACGAGACTATCTATCTTTTTCATCATCGCCTACGGTCATTTTACCATTGTTGGTCCGACATCACCACGGATAGATGGGTACTAGAAATAGTGCAATTCGGCCTTTCCATTCCCTTTCTCTCTATTCCCCCTACCACTCCCCCTTCCCCGTCCCTTTTCAGGGACCCCTCTCACGAGCAACTGCTACAACAGGAAGTTCAACGTTTGCTCGACATTGGGGCAATAGAGAGAGTTCCCAAGCAGTTCTGGGGAAAAGGCTTTTATTCCCGATATTTTCGCACACCAAAAAAGTCGGGAGGCAGGAGACCCATTCTAGACCTTCGAAAACTAAATCTACACCTTTGGAAGTTTCGTTTCAAGATGGTAACCTTAACAACTATCATTCCGTCATTGAACAAAGGGGATTTGGCTTGCAGTCCACGACTTACAAGATGCTTATTTCCACATAGCTGCCGGTGAGGCAGGTGCTGTTATAGCCGGTGCTGCTGAAGCTGGTGCAGAGCGGCTGGACAATTGCGGCACCGGCATCAATTTCACAGAGCGTACAGCTGAGGCCGGTGCAGACTTGCCAGCTAGCTGCGGCACTGCTCCCGATGCCGGCGCCGAAGCCACTCTCGCTCTCGGCGGTGAGGGCTCTCTAATGGCTGCCCCAGCAGATTGTCCAGATCCCCATTTAAATGTCCCATGCTTAATTAGCATAATTGCATCAGGCCACCATTTTGAAATCGCATTATTGCAAAATAAAACGCCCCGTGTTTTATAAAATGAGGAGTAACAGTTATTTCGAGAGAAGGGTTTTCTCTCGAAATAACGCTGCTACACAGGGCGTTTTACTTCTCAATAATGCGATTTCAAAATGGCGGCTGGATGTGATTAAGCTAATTAAGTACGGAATATTTAAATCACGCGCTTCATTAGCAATTTTGGTACACTACATTTACATCCCTATCTTGAGATAGGGAGCAAGTGTAGATGTACCCTAAATGACCGTGTCCTTATTTACCAGACCCCCCAAACTGTTTGTCATCTGTAAATTTTTCTGGCAGTGATTTTATATTTCCCTTAGAACATTGATAAAGATATTGAATAGAATTTGGTCAAGATCAAATTCTTCTGAGACCCCACTAAAACTCTCTCTAGACAAGGGTGGGAAATAGGTGGCCCTTAGGCCAGATGCTGTTTGTCAGGGTTAGCTCCTTGACAGCATCCAGATGCTTTATGTATCTGAGCATCCTCAGGTATGGTGGCTTGTGGCTCTTGTTGCTTGCAGTTCACCATTCCCGACCAAAAGGGAGCTGCAGGAAGTGGTGCAGGCCGGAATGGTGAACCACAACCTTCAGGAGCTGCGAGTGTCCGTACCTGCAGAAACTCAGGTAAATAAAGCAACTTGCAGCTCACCAGTAGCT